AGGTAAAGGCACGTTTCCTGCGAAATATATGAAAAATTAAAATTTTTTTTTAAATATCATCATGACTGGCAGTCAAAATCTATCTATTCCTTCCGCCTCTACAAGACAAAAAGTTAAGGCTTTATATTGAAAGCTTATAAAATTCAATCGAATATAATATTGCGTTAGTAAAGTAGAACGACCGCACAAATGTGTTTCTGAATAAAAAATGAATTCACATAATTCTGCGGAGAGTTTGAGCTGTAGTGGGTTCTACAAGGCTTGAATATATCATAAAAAAGCGACGGCATGGTATTCAACGTTAAGTTATTAATACCTCTTACTTGCTTGCACAAGTAAGCTGGATTACTGCGCATTGTACTGAAGGCTAACTGTGTCTGTAAGTATGTAAGTATGCAAAGAGAAAAAAATGAATAATACTGAACTAGCTGAGCGGAATATTTGTAAAAATATCAACAAGTCAGTAAGCCATCCTGGTAGATGAGTGTAGGCAGAATAACTGCTAAGTTAGAAAATGTTTTGCTATTACTAAATAAGCAGAATTACTGACTGACTTACTTAGCTTATGGAAAAAAAGCTTAAAATCTCTGCACCAGTACTTTCTCACATCCACCATCGAAGAATAAGGATTTATTAATTCTGTGAAATCCCTCAGAAGGACCCTTCCCCGTAAAGTGTATGCGTTCTTGATCAATTTCAAATTCTGAATCAATCCTGGTAAGCTTTTCCGTCGGTACGTCGGGTCCTTCGACTGTGATAAACATACTCTTTTTCGCAAGAATAACAGTATTGGCTTGTAACTTGGTGAAAATCTGTTGCACGCAGATTGTTATTGAAAATGCATCAAATTGGGCAAAGTGCAGAGTGCAATGCAAACTGAAAACAAAATGAAAATTATTTTTTTGGTCATTACTCATAAAGTAGAAGAGTAAGAATTGATATCTTCTATAAGCAATTCGGGATGTAAATGGCAACAATCGCCCGGGCAAACCCAGCGTTGAAGAGTATCGGACTTTGATATTCTTCGAGTTATTATACAGATCACTGAGGGGATGACTTTTTTCATACCGTATGCAACACCTGGAAGGAAGTTTTAGAGAACCTATATAATATATACATATTCTTGATCAGCGTTAAATTGTGAATTGAATAAGCCACGTCTGTCCGTCTACTGGTCTGCTTTATCGCAAAAATGAATATATGGACTTAAAACTGTGTAGAAACATTGAAAATAGGGCA